GCAGGAGGTGGCCAATCGATGTTCTCTCTCATTGATATTTCTCTCTCTCTCCCTTCCTCTCTAAAATCAATAAAGAAAAAAATATTAAAAAAAAAAAAATAGCCCTGTCCTGTTTGGCTCAGCGGTTAGAGTGTTGGCCTGCGGTCCAGAGAGACTCGGGTTCGGTTCCCGCTAAGGGCACGTACCTTGGTTGCAGTTTGTCCCCGGCCCTGGTTGGTCGTGCGGGTGGCAGCCACTCGATGTGTCCCTTTCACATTGATGTTTCTCTCTCTCTCCCTTCCTCTCTCTCCCTCCTACTCTATCTGAACAAAAAATGGAAAAATGTCCTCGGGTGAGGATAAAAAAAAAAAGAAAAGAAAAGAAAAAAAATGAAATAAAATAATAATAAAATAAATAAATTTTAGGCCCAGCCCAAAGGTTACGCAGTCTTAACATTCCAAAAGTTTGAGAAGTAGGATGTGCAAGGCAGTTTGTCTGGGATGAGAGCACCTACTCCATGTTAGTGACTTTATATTATTTTTTATATAATCATAGTTATTTTAAATTCCCTGTAGATGCTTTCAATATCTGGGTCATCTCTAAGTCTTATCCTATTGACTTCTTTGCCTTTTGATAGTAGGTTGTTATTCTTGTTTGGGTGTTTGTTTGTATATGTGTTGCTTGTAATTTGTTATTGATTGCCAGATGTATGTAGTATATGGAGTAGTAGAGACTGAGGTACATAGCATTAATTCTGGGAAATAGGTACGCCTCTTCTTTTATTAGGCTGTTAGTGTGGAAGTTTGAGTAACCTCAGTTCTCTGATGACTTCAAGGAAAGTTATGATTTTGTAGATTATTTGACTTTTTCTTGTTATAGGAGTGGGAGTGATGCTTTTCGCAGCTTTCTACATCCTAAATGGAAGTTTGAAGTTGAGGAAATTCCATTTTATACTAGATTTAATTTTCCTGTGAAAGGAGCTTACCTCTCTTTTTCCTGTCTGTGATATGATTAAATATATATTTGATCTTTATTCATTGTTTCTGGCACATAGCTCCTGTAATTTCCAATATAAGAGCCATAGGGGCTTTAAAAAAATGTTTTGCCCTGTCTGGTTTGGCTCAGCGGTTAGAGCGTCGGCCCACAGACTGTAGAGTCCCAGGTTCGGTTTCCACTAAGGGCGCGTACCTCCATTGATGTTTGTCCCCGGCCCCAGTTGGGATCGCGTGGGTGGTGACCAGTCAATGTATCTTTCTCACATCGATATTTCTCTCTCTCTCTTCCTCCTTTTCTCCTCCTGCTCTGTCTGAAGATAAATGCAAAAGTGTCCTTGGATGAGGATTAAAAAAAATGTTTTAATTGATTTTTTAGGGAGAGAGGAAAGGAGAGAGATAGAAACATTGAGCAGCTGCCTTCTGCACACCCCCTACCAGGGATTGAGCCAGCAACCCAGGCATGTGCCCTGACTGGGAATTGAACCAGGACCTCTTAGTCCATGGGACAGTGTTTAATCTACTGAGCCACATCAGCTGGGCATAGGGGCTTTTTTGTTGTTATAATATTTAGTTTTGTTTCTGAAATAGCTCCAGAGCAACACAGGTGAAATGAAATGAATGTCTTCTGTTATTTATATTACAATCCCCTTTCAATACACTCAGATTTATGTTAATCAGGTGATTTTTGGAAAGCATCTAAATCCTCTTAGGATGGGTGTTGGTTGCCACGGAACCAACCCTGTAATTAGAGTTGGAACTTTCATACTAGACCCAACCTCTGGGGAGGGGAGAGGAGCTAGAGGTTGATTCAATCACCAGCGGTCAACATTTTAATCATTTATGCCTTTGTACTAAAGCCTCTATAAAAAATCCAAAAGGAGCCCTGGCCAGCTTGGCTCAGCGGTTAGAGCGTCAGCCTGCGGTCCAGAGAGACCCAGGTTCGTTTCCCACTAAGGGCACGTACCTCGGTTGCAGTTTGTCCCCAGCCCTGGTTGGGTCATGCAGGTGGTAGCCACTCAATGTGTACTTCTCATGTCGATGTTTCTCTCTCTCTCTCTTCCTCTCTCTCCCTCCTGCTTTATCTGAACAAAGAAAAAAAAATGTCCTCTGGTGAGGATTAAAAAAAAAATCCAAAAGGATAGGGTTTGGAGAGCTTCTGGGCTGTTAAACATGTGGAGATGCTGGGAGAGGGGTGTACCCAGAGAGAGCATGGAAACTCGATACCCCCTTCCACATACCTTACTGTATACATCTCTTCCATCTGGCTATTCCTGAGATATAACCTTTGATAATAAACTGGTAATCTAATAAATTTTCCTGAATTCTATGAGCTGTTCTGGCACATTTTTTTTTTTTATCCTCACCCGAGGGCATTGTTTTTTTCTTTTATCTTCAGATAGAGCAGGAGGAAGAGAGGGAGGAAGAGAGAGAGAAACATAGATGTGAGAGACACACATTGACTGGCTGCCACCCACATGACCCCAACCAGGGACGGGGACAAACTGCAACCGAGGTACATGCTTAGTGGGAACCAAACCCAGGACTTCCGGTCTGAGGGCCGATGCTCTAACCGCTGAGCCAAACTGGCCAGGGCTGTTCTGGCAAATTAATTGAACTCAAGGAGGGGGTAATAGGAACCTTCAATTTATGGCCAGTCAGTCAAAAGCACTGGTAACAACCTAGACTTGTGATTGGCATCTGAAGTGGTGGTAGAGGGGTGGTTTTGTGGGACTGAGCCCTTAACCTGATCTGATACTATCTCTGAGTAGCTAGTGTCAGAATTGAGTTAAATTGTAGGACATCCAGCTGGTGTTGCTAAATTGCTTGATGTGTAAAAAACCCACACGTTGGGTGTCAGATGGCCAAAAAGAACACTGCTTGCTCTTCTCCTTGACTTTCCAGCTGGGGTCTGATAGAATAGGAGGAGGCTAGAGTGGTCACTGGGGCCAGTTTTTTTGCTTGCCTCTGTGTTGATTTGGGTGAAAAAGCAGCCCAGGTTTCTCTACACCTGACTTATGTGAGAATATAAGCTCCTCAGCTGTTGCCTTGTTTTGTTTTCATGGCTGCCTGAGCTCACCTGACAGGTATGTGAAAACAAATATGTTTCCATGTGCCTGCATAAAGAAACATGTAGGCTGGTTCCAGGAGTGAAAGGAAAGTGGTGCCACCTTACAGCCAGGCCTCACCTAAGCAGAGGTAGGCTGGCTCAACCACTCTGGGAGTGAGGGAAGGCTTCCTAGTGCTCCAGAGGAGCTTTTTTCACTGGGGCTCTGGAAGGGTATGGAACAGGTAAGGCAGGAATTTTGGGTGAGGCTGTGGAGATTGGAATTTTCCCTGAGAACTGCTCCCTTTTGAAGGGCCCTGGTTCCCTTGAGCTGAGCTCAGTGATGCAAGGTTTTGGCACATCCATTTTTGATGAGCAGATGAAAGGCTTCTGGGAAGATGATGTGCTGATTCCATTCTTTTTTTGTTTGTTTATGATTCCATTCTTATTCATGGAAGTTATCTCTGTGCCCTTAAAGAACTGACTCTTGGGTGGGAATCAAATGGTCTACCAGATTCCTTTCTCCAAAAGATGAGTTAGGAGTAGAGAATCTGAATTCCTGGCTCCTGAGTCACAGGAATTGAGGGAGGGAGAAGGCCATGCTGAATGGAGGGTTACGAAGTTGCTGGCTTCCTGTGACAGATTCTGGGTCTTTGTGGGTAGGTTGGTGTGGAATCCAACTTCCTTGAGGTTTCTGAACTGGCCCAACTCTAAGCCAAAGGCAGTAGTGTGTGTGTGTGCCATTTCCTTTCAGGATGACTTCCAAAACAAGATCTGTGGATAAGAGGAACTTTATAGCTTTGACTGGGTGTCAAGACTCTTGGGTCCTATTTTGTTTCTTTTTTTTTTTTTTTTAATCCTCACCCGAGGACATTTTTCCATTTTTTGTTCAGATAGAGCAGGAGGGAGAGAGAGGAAGAGAGAGAGAGAGAAACATCGATGTGAAGGGACACATCGAGTGGCTGCCACCCGCACGACCAACCAGGGCTGGGGACAAACTGCAACCGAGGTACATGCCCTTAGCAGGAACCGAACCCGGGTCTCTCTGTACCGCAGGCCGACGCTCTAACCGCTGAGCCAAACCGGCCAGGGCTCTTGGGTCCTATTTTGGGAGGACCTCTTTGCAACCCAGTTGGTAGTTAGGGGCATGTTGAGGAGAAAAGCAAATAAGCCAAAAGCAGATGAGCCCCAGGGTAGAGTGGCCTCTGGATGTTCTTTCTCTGTCTGGTATTATTATGTTATTCCTCTCTGGGCACTTTGAAAAAAGAAAGGTGTTGAATGGCATGTAGCAATGGAGGAAGTAAGGAAGGTGTTTTGGAAATAGTGACATATGGGTGTGTATTTTCATGAAGGTCCTCTCCTTGGTCCAGTCTCTGCAGTAGTGATATGCCCTTGTCTTAGCATCTCACCCTGGCCCTTCCCACCACCTGCTCATGTTCTTTGCCAGCCTGACAGTAGCTACAGACCTCTCCACATGTGGCTGGACACTGCAGAAGTCCCTGCTTACGTTTGGGTGGAGGTGAGTGAGCAGGATTACCTGGGTATGGACAATGAGAAACCTTTCAGGCTGGCTAGGGCTGTGAACCTGGTGCTGGGACTCTGGTCATCTCTGCAGGGAAGATTTGCAGGTTTTAAGCTGGTAAGAACAGAACAAAAACTACTTTTCAAGGAGAATCTGTGCTATGGATAAACCTAATGCCAGCCTACTCTGGGCATCAAGCCAGGTACCTCTCGTTGAAAGGTGCCTTCATATTGTGCCTGAACTCTTAAGGTGTCTTCCTTGGGAGCAGTGGAGGTCTGCCTAAATCCATTTCCCTGAGTCCTGAGGTGGGGACTGAGACAGGCTCATTGTTTTTAGGTCTGTGTGTGAGGCATGCTGTTCCTACATAAGAGGTGGGCAGGGAAATCTGCCTACCTTGCAGGTCTAAACTAGAGCCTCGCCAGCTCCTGCCTTAGACTGACATACTTATATTCTTTGCCAGGCTGTAGTAAACACAGGAGTGAAGGAACCATTTGTCATGGAAGCCAAGGAACTGGAGAGCCCAGCGTCCATATATCATTTCATTCCTGAGACCAGCCAGCCCAGGGAGGAAGATGACAGCATGCCACCTCAAGGGACCACAGAAACTATGCAGCTGAAGAAGGAAATCTCTCTGCTGAATGGAGTCAGCCTGGTGGTGGGCAACATGATCGGCTCAGGAATCTTTGTCTCACCCAAGGGCGTTCTGGTTTACACAGCTTCCTATGGGTTGTCGCTGGTCATATGGGCCATTGGTGGGCTTTTCTCCGTTGTGGGTGCCCTTTGCTATGCAGAACTGGGGACCACCATTACCAAGTCTGGGGCTAGCTATGCTTATATTCTAGAGGCCTTTGGGGGCTTCATTGCCTTTATCCGCCTGTGGGCCTCCCTGCTAATCATTGAGCCTACCAGTCAGGCCATCATTGCCATCACCTTCGCCAACTACATCATCCAGCCCTCCTTTCCTACCTGTGATCCCCCGTACCTGGCCTGCCGTCTCCTTGCTGCTGCTTGCATATGTAAGTCTGGGGGCTTAGTGGGGGAGTATTTGTCGGGGTGGGGGTTACTTTAATAATGCTAATAGTACTTTATATTGAACAGCATATATTGCTTTTTGGGAGGAAAGAGGTGTATCTCTTTTCAAGAAGTAATTTAACCAAAGTCATTTGGTCCTGAGATAAGTCTAAAAAATAGGGGTGTGAGAAGTTTGAATCTGCTTGTGGCTTTTGGTGCCTCACATTCCTTCCACTCTTGACTGTCCCTTAGTTCTCTTCTCCAGTCTATGTGACAGGTTGGTGCATGTCTTATATTTGTCTTGTACGTGTTTTGATTGGAATCAACATCACTAGTTGTAACTTAACCCAGAACAAAACCTAAGTGCTGAGGCCTTTATTATGCTGCTAAAAAATATGTTACTTTGCTTCCCAGCTTTTATCTTAAACTAGTTTAAAGACATCAGTAAGGAAATTGGCTTCTCTAGATTGTGGGGGTCCCAAGTCATTATCCCTCAGGCCCATAGTACCACAGGGCCACTTCTTCTTGCTGCTGCCACTCTCCACAGCCTGTTTTAAGCAGCAGGCACCACACCAAAATGGCTTTTTCCCATTGGTGTTTCAGATTTCTTTACACTGACTTTGTAAACAAGCTCTCCCAGGGGCCAGTGAGAAGCAGGGTGGCTTCTACCCCATATTTGGGTTTCTGAGGACAGAACCTAAGAGACCCCAGTGGATCCCTCTTTATTTTCATTTATCTTTCATAAGGTGATAAGTAGGGATTGTGTATGAAGTCAATGAAAGGGAGAGAGATTGCTGTGAATTTACTCAGTCATGTAGAGCCTGTGTTTTATTTAGCTGAGAAGTGGTGCAGAATTTCCTGTGTTCCTTAGCACTGTGTTGCCAGAGGCACTTAATTATACTCTGTTCTTTCCATATCTCTGCTTACAAAGCTTTGGCAGTATTTGTAATTTATCCATAGTGTTAAAAATAGACAGAGAGCACCGAGGAGTTAACAGTAAAAGATTATACAGTACACTGAACAGGCCTGCTAACTATAAGGAATTTATTAAAGACAAATGTTAAAGGGAACCCCTCCACAGATACCCTGGAAGGATGGAAAGTAGGTACTCAGTTGTATATCTAATAGGGTTTAACCAGGAGGACTCTGGTCTGACTGACCTCTCTAAAAAAGGAAATTGGCCTGGTCAGTGTGGCTCAGTGGTTGAGCATCGATTCATGTACCAAGGGTCGCTGGTTTGATTCCCATTCAGGGCACATGTCCAGGTTGTGGGCCAAATCCCCAGTGAGGGTCATGCAGGAAGCAGCCAGTCGATGTTCTCTCTCATCGATGTTTCTTTTTGTTTATTTATTTATTTTTAAAACCCTCACTGGAGGATATTTTCCCATTTATCTTCAGATAGAGTGGGAGGGAGAGAGAGAGAGAAACATCAATGTGAGAGAGACACAACGACTGGTTGCCTCCTGCACGACCCTGACCAGGGCAGGGCTGGTGAATGAACCACAACTGAGGTATATGCCCTTCACTGGAATCAAACCCATGACTCTTTGGTCCTTGGGCCAACACTCTAACCACTGAGCCAAACCAGCCAGGGTTCTCATCAATGTTTCTATCTCTCTGTCCCTTTCCCTTCCTCTCTCTCTAAAATCAATAAAGAAAAAAAAAAAATAGCCTGGCTGGTGTGGCTCAGTGGTTGACCGTCGACCCATGCACCAAGGGATTGCTGGTTCAGTTCCTGGTCAGGGCACATGCCCAGATTGTAGGCCAAATCCCCAGTGGGGGCATGCAGGAGGTGGCTAGTCAGTGTTCTCTCTCATTGATGTTTTCATCTCTCTCTCTGTCTCCCTTCCTCTCTCTCTAAAAATCAATAGAGAAAAGAAAAATAATAAAAAAAATTAAAAAGGGAATGGTTTTCTTGATTATAAAACATGTATATCACAGAGAAAATTAACTTAGCCTTAAATCATCCTTAATCTACCACCAAGAGATGAGGACTTTTAATAGTTCCAGTAGTTCAACTGTGTCTTCATTTCTTTTATAGAACTGGCATCCTACTTTGCATATAACTTTATACTCTGCTTTTTAAACTTAGTATATCATGGGTTTTCCCCTTTTTGTGGAATGTTCTTCAGAAGAAACATTTGTGTGTGTGTGTGTGTGTGTGTGTGTGTTAATCCTCACCTGAGGATATTTTTCCATTAATTTTTAGATAAAGTAGAAGGGAGGGAGGGAGGGGGAGACACACACACATTGATTGGTTGCCTCCTGCATGACCCCGACCCAGTCTGTCGGGATCGAACCTGCAACCCAGGCATGTGCCCTTGACTGGAAATCAAACCTGAGACCCTTAGGTCTGCAGGCCAAGGCTCTAACTGCTGAGCCAAACCCAGGGTAGAAGAAATGTTTTTTAAAGTAGTGTATGTGTCTTTGCTTTCTTTCTTTAAAAAAAAATTGTTTTTTCTTTATTGATTTTAGAGAGAGAGGAAGGGAGAGGGAGAGAGAGATATAAACATCAACGAGAGAGAACATCGATTGGCTGCCTCCTGCATGCCCACCACTGGGGATCGGGCCCATAACCTGGGCATGTGCCCTGACTGGGAATCGAACCGTTGACCTCTTGGTGCATGGATTGACGCTCAACCACTGAGCCACACTGGCCAGGCTTTCTTTCTTTTTTAAAAAAAATATTTTTATTGATTTATTTTAGAGAGAGAGAAAGGGAAAGGGAGAAAGAGAGAGAAACATCGATGTGAGAGAGAACCATCAATCGGCTGCCTCCTGCACCCCATGAGCCCACAACCTGGGCATGTGCCCTGACCAGGGATCAAACCAGTGACCACTTGGTGCATGGGTCAGTGCTCAACCACTGAGCCATATACCGGCTGGGCTCTTTCTTTCCTTTTTAAAATATGTTTTTATTGATTTTAGAGAGAGGGTAAGGGAAAGAGAAAGAGAAACATCTATCTGCTCCTTCTCGCATGCCTTCTACTGGTAATGGAGCCTGAAACCTGTGCATGTGCCCTGACCTGGAACTGAACCAGTGACCTCTTGGTGCATTGGACGATGCTCAACCAACTGAGCCACACTGGCCAGGTGTGTGTGTGCCTTTATTTTATTTTACTTTTTTATTCTTCACCTCAGGATATTTTTCCATTTATCATCAGAGTGGGAGGGAGGGAGGGAGGGAGGGAGAGAGAGAGACAGAGAGAAACATTGATGTGATAGAGCCACATCTACTGGTTACCTCCCGCATGACCAGACCAGGGCCAGGGACAAACTGCAGCCGAGGTATGTGCCCTTGACTGGAATCAAACCCGCGACTCATTAGTCCACGGGCCGACACTCTAACCACTGAGCCAAACCGGCTAGGGCAGTGTGTGTGTGTCTTTTAAATTGAAAGATAATACATAGACTTTACAGTCAGTTTGAAAAATGCAAAAATTAGAAAAAAAGAAAATTAAAATCACCCATGATTTTACTTCCCAGAGAACTATTGTTCTATTTATATGAGAAAACTTCCAGTAGATTCTTCTGTGCTTATTTATACTTTTTAAAAAGTCTCCTTGAGCCCTGGCTGATTTGGCTCAGAGGTTAGAGTGTCAGCCTGTCCACCGAAGTGTCGAGGGTTTGATTTTGATCAAGAGCCCATATCTGGGTTGTAGGTTTGATATCCGGCCCCGTTGGGGTCATGCCGGAGGCAACCAATCAATGTGTCTCACTCACATGGATGTTTCTTGTTCTCTCTCCCTCTCTCTAAAAATCAATGGAAAAATATCCTCAGATGAGGATTAATAACAAAAAAAAAAAAAACAATGAGCCCTGGCCGGTTTGGCTCAGCAGTTGGAGCGTCGGCCTGCGGATCAGAGAGTCTGGGGTTTAGTTCCCGCTAGGGGCATGTACCAAAAAAAAAAAAGTACCCTTGAGTTCACCTACAAGACACATATAAGATATGCACCAACCTGTCACATAGACCAGGGAAGAGAACTCAGGGACAGCCAAGAATGGAAGGAATGTGAGGCACCAAAAGCCACGAGCAGATTCAAACTTTCGATTTGATGAAATTACTTTTTGAAAAGATATATTCTTTGTGGTTTGTATACTGCTTTTAAAAAAAATTAATATTTAATCTCTTTCATCAAATATTTCTGGGAGCAGGGAGTTGGGGGACTGAGTGAAAAGGGTGAAGGGATTGAGAAATAGAGATTGGTAGTTGTAAAATAGTCATGGGGATGTAAAGTACAGAATAGGGAATGTAGTCAGTTATATTGTAATGATTATGTATGGTGCCAGGTGGGTACTGGTAATATTGGGGGAACATTTTATAAAGTAAATGTCTAACCAATACGCTGTGCACCTGAAAATAATACAGAATAATATTGAATGTAAATTGTAATTGAAAAACATTTTTAATTAAACAAACAAATAAAAATATTCCTTAGTTTAGGGACACATAAGTAGTTTCCTGGCAGTGTGGTATAGTGGTTAAGATCACAGGCTCTCATGCAGACTGGGTTTGATTCCAGCTTTACCATTGAGTAGCTGCTGACTTTAGAGGAGTTAGTTATCTCTTGCCTCTGTTTCTCATTTGTAAAATGGGGATATTGATTGTATCTATCTGAAGGGATTTTTGTGAGGAATAATGAATCAATATACGTATAGTACTTCTCTGCCTGGCATATAGTAAGTGCTCTATAATATTATCAATAATGCTGCTGTGGGGATCTTGTGTATAAATTATTTTCAGAGTTTCTGCGTATTTTCTTAGGATACAGGGTGGGGCAAAAGTAGGTTTACAGTTGTGAGTATGCAAAACAGTTCTTGTATTATTATTTATTAGTTATTGTATTTTTTTCATACGAACAACTGTTAATGTACTTTTGCCCCACCCTGTACAAGAGAAATCCCTGTGTCTAAAGGAAAAACCTGTTTTGGGTTCTTTTTTTTAATTGATTTTTTAGAGAAAAAGGAAGGGAGAGAAACATTGATAGGCTGCCTCCTGCATGCC